GGGGCGGGGCCAGGCAACTTGCCGCGGCGCCATGGCAACGGGGGCGGGGCCAGGCACCTGCCGCGGCGCCATGGCAACGGGGGCGGGGCCAGGCACCAAGAGGGGGCAGTTGATATTTATTGCTTTTAATACAAATCGTGTTTAGACTTCGTGAAAGATGAACATGCTCTGGTTTCCGTGAACACGCAGTTATTTCCATGACCATGAGAAGCTGCTGTTCTACTACTACAGGAAAAGCCCAGAGAAAATCCAGCCCAGCTGGCTGCAGGTGACCTGTAGGCACCTGTAGGCACCTGTAGGCACCCTGAGACCTACAGGCAGCCTGCGGTGGCACGGGTGAAAGGCAGCAACAGCTCCAGAGAACACAAAAGCCATTTACTGACGCAAGTATCGATGTGGTCCAGGAATCCTGAAGACTTGGTGAGCATCACAACTACAACGTAGGACAAAAACACAGAGACAAATTGAAGGTTATGATGCTGGAGAAAAATCACAGAACACAAAATATAACCCTTTATTAAAAATTAGTGTTCCATTTAATGCACTGAAAAAAATATAACATGGTTACTGCATTAATTATCCATTATGCTGACTCTTAAAAGTTAGACATAAAACAAAGTCTGATGCTACAAGAAAACAGTTTGATCACAGAATGTCAGTTTAAACAAGATCAATAATAATATTCACTATGCTCTGGATGAAAAACATTACAGAAATCCAAAGACCTCTACTATTATACAAATTCAGCTCCAACATCCCTCTGAGGTAGGGGAGGGTCTTACCACTGTTTTATTACAGATGAGGAGAAATTACACACAGAAAAAGTGACTTTCTGTTTATCACCAAGTTAGTGGCAAAGCTGTGAACAGGACTCATGCCCACTCATCCCTAAATAAAACCTCAGTAGTTCTCCTAACAGGATGGATGGTGTAGAATTTGGCTGCAAAGATTTAATGCCAAGGATTGTCAAAGGATATAATCTAGTTGTATGAGACAGGGGCTGCTGGGCCAGACACACTCAGCTAAGATGTGCTTCCTCAGTATTTCCTAGAGTGAATTGTGTCTGAAAATGAAAAAACCTCACCAGAAAACAAAAATCTACTCAAAAGCACAGTAAGAATTGCCTGTTCCAAGCAGAATGCAGCTTTTCAATAACACATCCATGTCAGTCCCTCCAGTGCCCTCCCAGTCTCAGCTTTATTTTATCCAAGAAATGCAAGAGATAAAGTCAGTGGAATAGAAGGCTGCAATGAGAGAAACGTCTACGGTACCAGAACCAAAATGTCAAGGTGAAGGTTAAACAGTTAGTTTTGTCTGGACATTTATCAACCGGCTGGAGGCTGCTCCCCTGCAGAGCTCTCCCTTTTGACACTATTGCCCAATTAACACTCAGACTGAGAAGCTGTTTAACACCAGACACTCAGGAAGGCACCAAGTCCCCCCTCTGCAGAAGGGCTGAGGCAGTTTGCAGCGTGAGGCTCCCACCAGGGATCCACACCCCCCTAGCACAGCTTTTGGCTCCCCAGGACAGACACCTTCTCCATTCTTCCCACCTGCTGACCCAGCACCTGAACACACACAAGTTCACTCAAATTGAGTGAGGAGAGCAGTGAGGTCTCAGTGAGAGCAGCTAATGAAAGCTGGCTGCTGCAGTGAGAATTCATACATCACAAACAAGGCTGAAAGGCTTTTCCTCCTCCCAAAGGCAACTACAAACCCACGGGCACATCAGTGAACACTGAGGGGCTGTGGAGGGAGCCACTGCAAGTCACTTTACCTGCAGACAAATGCATACAGTGAGAAGTCTGTACTGTCTTAAGGATGACAATTTGTGATATTTAGAGGCAGCAGAGTCTCAGGAGGCACAGCTGTCTGCTCTCTCCAGCAGTGGCAGCTTGCTGCAGCCAGGTGAATGCTGCACCTCACAACTGCATCATCCTTTCAGAGCTGCTTTTTCTCCATGATGCCAGGTTGTATCACGACCCAGACAGTTCTTAAAGAAGTTTGTTTCCAAGATTAATTTAATCTAAACTCAAATCAGAAATGTAATACTAATTGTTGGCTATGGGAGAGAAAACCAACTAGACCAAAACACCAGCTCTTCTCTGCTTCTCACAGCCCAATCATTCACAGATTTAATCCATTTCATTCATGAATTCTGGGAGCACAGAATTCCCCCATGGAACGAAAGCCCCTGGATTAGCACACAGATCTGACACATTCTCTTGCACATTCTCCCTCCCATACCTGTACTCCCCAGAGAAAAGAAATCCAAATATTACATTTTTCTGCTTATAACTTTTGAACAGTTTTGCAAGACATCCAGCATTACTTACCTAATCTGTGAACATTCACTATGCTACTAACAAGAAAAAAAAGTATCAATCATTTGTGAAGAAACAGAAGTGCCATACATGAATTTTAAATTACAATCTTATTTGTTACAAGATGAAAAAAAGTACAAGGGAATAAACTGAAGCCATTAAGCACAACACAGAGACCACATCACTACAGGCTCTGCTGGAAGTCTCAAAGCACCCACCACCGTGTCATTAGTGGAGGGGAAATTTTTTTAAATGCACATCATATTCCAACACAATTAAAGAAAAACAAAACAAAAGTCTTTGTCAAAACTAATCTCAGCAACTGTATTTTCACTGCCAAAGAAAAAACAAACCCAAACCAGCTGAAAAACAACAACTTAGAGAAAGCAATGTAAAAAGAGAAGAGGTTATTGGAGATTTCCAGAGGCCTTTCAGAAAGAGGCAAGTGCCTTGCTGTGGCAAAGCTGCTTCCTGGATGGGAGGGGAATGACAGGAATGCTGCCAGGGGCACAGCCTGGCACAATCCAACCCTGCGAGTTTGCAGCCTTTAGTGTTTTCTTACCAAGCCTCAACAATTTAATTTTCAAAAGCCTAAATGAGTGGGAATAATTTTGTTGTTCCCTTCCCTTCTTCTATTACTACCAAACAATCCACCACCTTCATTCTACTTACGACTTTCATGTATTATTTAGGGATTATTTTCTTGTCAGGCTTCTGTAGCAGTGTGCTTTAAAACTGGCAAGTAGATCTGGCACTGGCCAGAGCAGTTCAAGACTGACCATCATGGAGACCAGAGCTTCCATGTACAAGGTGGGAAGGCAACAGCAGCTGTGGAGCATCTCCACTGCTGTCACACACCCACAGCTGCCAAGGAACAGCCACCAAGGAACTGTTCATGACATTGGAATCTGCGACTTACAGCTGAGACACAAAAGCATTAAAAAACCCAGTGACAACTTTTCATACTGAACTTGAACCTGATTCCAGAGCAGCCTTGACCCCAGCCTTCTGAAAGGGCTATCACAATTAGCACCCAACCAAGCACTCAGAATAAAAGTGATTGTTTCAGTTTTAAATCCAGTATAAGCTGCCTGCCTCCTGTGCCCAGAGCCTCTGGCAGCTTCATGCTAGTATGAGACTTTTATGACTATTCTTCTGTTTCAACTCCTATGCTCTAGAAAGGATTCAGAGCAACAAAAGCTGAATTCACCCTCCAGTATGTGAAAATTACCTAGCACTATAAAATGCTGCTTACTTTGTATCCCCTCAGTTGCTGCAGTTTTTCCCCTGCTGCTTAAGGAATTTAACATCAAACAGCACTTTTAGGGCACAGGAGGAAACCGATGTCAAACTAATTCCCCAGATTGCCATTGTCTGTATGAACAGGATTACACTGGCACAAGCCTCAACAATGGCAACCCTGCCACAGTCTGTTCCTGAAGTTCTTTCACTTTGAAGTTTCTTCCTTCACCATTCCCATATCCACTTCTCCATCTCCCAAGAAAAGTCATTTCATGTGTATTAACATTTCCAAAGTTTTCTCATTCTTCACAAGGGGAGGTTTTGTGATGACTTGACTCTGACCTCTTTGGAACAGCATGCCTCAGAATGAATGAGTTCTAAGGAGAGCTATCTCAGACCACCTTTGTGTGTGCACTGGGGAAGGAGGTGGGACCAACCACCCATGCAGTGCACCTGACTATGGGGCAGCAACCGTTCCTTCTGGGGGTTATGGGATGGAGTGTTTGCCAAGAGTAGTCATGTTCAAGTTCTCCCCACCCCCTCTTCAGTATTTTGGTTTAAAATGTGGCAGTTCCATTGTACACAGCCCAAAGAGGGCAGGTATCTGGGAAAGGCTTTTCAAACCACACCATCTCATCTGGGGAATGCAGTACTTCTCACAGGAGGCAAGAGAGCTGCACTGGCTGTGCAAGAGTGACCACAAGCTGCCAGAATTGGTGTCCAAATTCCACTCCTCCCGTGCCGGGCAAGGGGAACAGTCTGTATTTCAAGCAGTGGTGCAAAATGCACATCTCACTCCCCAAAGGCCTCGGCCTTTAGTGTTGCTTTGTGCGCACAGAACGCCCGTTCGCTTCTCCAGGGAGCCAAGAGGCCACACGCAGACCAACCCACAGCTCCCAACAGGTCCCTCCCTGCTCCCTGGTCTGCCCAGAGCCCCTCCCGGGCTGCCAGGCTAGTGCCCGAGCTGGCGGTCGTCGTAGGTGCTGTACCTCTTGACGTGGATGCGGCGCACGCGCTCCCGCAGCTCCAGACCCTCCTCCTCCTCGCTGGCGGCCGCCTGGCTGCGGCTCCTGCTGGTGGCCTCCAGCAGGGAGTTATCAGGGACCCGTGGGGTTTCATACAGCAGGACATTCAGTGTCTCCTCATAAATTCGAGCCTCAGGGAACTCAACCTAGAAGAGACAGCACAGGTCCTTTCTGTACAGGGTGACTGCACGGACCCGCCAGGGAGAGGACACCTGAGCCACAAAGACACGGGCTGTAAGGACAGGGAAGTGACTGTAAGTGAGGAAGATGAGCAAAGCAGCCCAGGTCCTAGCAGAGGACCACTCCCACCACCAGCTCACCTACCTCACCCTTTCTGTTCAACTGTCCTAGGAGGCAGTTCTGGTTCTGAAGTGCCAACACTGGGCTCTAGTCACCCAACCTGGAAAGGCACCCCTGGACACTGTAGACTTATCATGCTAATCATTATCACATTGTCATGCACATAACTCATCTCTTTAGGATGTGCTGTGCTTGAAAGCAAGTCTTTAGGTACCTTTGCAAAACCTGAGGTGGGAGACTGAGAAGAATCACTGAAAATGTGGGAAAAATCAAGACAGGCTGATTATTTGGAGCCTGCACTACTGATGAATTGTTTTAAACAGATATTCTAGAGTCTGGCACATAAAAGCACAATGTTAATTGTGCTTTTTTCTAAACAGTGTTTGAGCTCATGTTACCATTCCATTCATTTAATCCCATCCATTTGGGACAGATCAGTTTCAGTATTGTCCTTTTCAGTATATATTTTCCAACACTTTGGAGAAATTTATACTCCCAGACAGAACCATTTAGTCCAATCACAGCGACTACATCAGTGCAAGTGAAAAACAGCACAAAGGAACTGAAGTGAACTTAGGTAGATATAATTAGGAGCAGAATTAGATCTTTACTTCATTGTCTTAGAGAAGAAATTAAAAGCATTTACACGCTTTAGGGACACAAAATCCATCAACTTTGACACTAGTGCTAAAATGCACGTGCTTTCACAATTACCATTCTCAGTCTTTCCTTCCTCAAACCTGCACCCTATTTTGTCTCCCCTGAGCCCTGCCTGCTGGCAGGCAGCATCTCCACTAGGACCCCAGCTCACCCTGCAGCCCCCAGAGGAGCCACCCTAGTCATCTCCCTGTCACTGACCATCAATTCCAGCCAACATTCAGGACCATTGGTATCAAAGCTTTTCCAACAGTGATATTGTTTGCCCTAGCAATTTGGCTTAAGTCATTCAGTCTGTATCTTTCTGCTATGTACAATCAACCTGATTTTTCCACCACCACAAGAGACAGGTGGGTGCAGCTCCCTTACCTTGGTTTGCTTCTTCTCGGTCGCGTACACGATGGAGGTGCAGCAGACCTCGGCGAGCTTCCGGCCCTGCCCGTAGAAAGACCAGCAGCAAATTTCATCCCCTATGACATCCTTGATGAAGAGAACTCTGCCGTTGAAGCGGAGGGAGAGTTTGTCAAACAGCTCTATGTTCTTCAGCAAGTTGTCATCCGAGTTACTGAAACACAGCAAGGAAAGAAGGCCTTTGGTTTTGGTGGTTTTCCAACCAGCCGCACCTGCAGAACTCCTGCCTGCTCACCAGGCTCTAGGCATTGATCTCACTGCAGCACACAAATAACTAGTGACTCATTGCCACATGCTGCCAAGAAAAGAGGGCAATAGCCAATTCAGATACAAATAAGATGCTCTGATCCCATAAGCAAACCCACCAGCCTTTAGAGGTCAAGTAATATAATTAATATTGACAGCACAATTTCCCAAATCATTGCATCAACCACCTACAACTCTGTCTTGCCTGACACTCAGGACAATTAAATCACAGGCCAACTGTACTTCAGCTTAGTCACAATAGAACCCCAAAGAGTCACCGTGTGCTAGGCCAGCTAGAAAGCCAGGTATGCTGCATGTGGCACTAGTGAAACCACACACACATTTCCAGGGTGAATATGTTATTTAGGAAACTTATGGACAGCCAGCACCATGGGGGATCTTAATTGCTTTCCAAAGCCAGATCTAGATGTTCTAGAGAAAAAAAGAATGTACATGGTATGATAGCTTTAAAATCAAGTAAACCTGTGAGAAAGCTTTAAGTCAGAGTGCTGGCAGAGGTATATGCAGGCTCAAAAGTAAATCTAAACTGCAGAGGTATGGATCATGGCTGAGTTAGCTCTGCAATGATGAGGGAAACTGTTTTGCACTACCCAAGTTCCATCCGGTTTCAGCCACCATTAATAGCCTCATTGTTCTCATGTCTTGTCCCTTGTTTCTGTCCATCTTTCTCTAGACTGTCCACTAGACTTCAATAGACACAGTTTGTTGTGTTCTCTCCCATTTATATTCAAAAGAGTCAAAAATAACTGCACTCAAATCCATAGAAGACCACTGTTGTCGTCAAAACAAAACAGAAAATAAATCAACAACAACAAAAAAATAACACGGAAAAAACCAAACCAGCTGGTCATGTCACCTCCCTCTACTCCCACAGCGAAGGGAAACCTTCCCCTTACAGTGGGGAAAAAACTGACTTACCTGGTGTAGGAGTATTTGTTGTTGCTTCTATTATAAAGCAGCTTCACAACAGGCTATTGAGAGAGAAAGAAAAAGAGTAGGAAAGGTAAGTTAAATGTTTGAATACATTTAGCAGAGTCCATCTGCCATGGGACAGTTGTGGGAAAGCCTGAAATACCTTCATGGATGATTCAATCAGTCTCTCCTCTTCTTTGGGAGAGGTGATAATAGGGATGCTGCACACAGGCTCATACAGGTCTTTCTTGTCCTGTTTTAAAGAGAAAAAAGAAAAGAGGAGGAAATTAACTCAAGAGAGAAGCACTAAAGCCAACATCTGCTGCTGCTGCTGCCTTCTCCAGCCCCTCCAGCCATGTGCCATGTTCCCAAATCCTGTGATGCAAAGGAAAAGCTCCATGTTGCCATGGGAACCACACAGCCTTACCTGGCTCTGCAGCCCAGAAACACAGCCCCAGAGGGCAGCAGTAACTGGAATATTGGGATGCAGATGGATGTCCTTGTCAGCTATAGCAATGACTCTGAGCTTAAGTCATATTTGGTTTGAGCGGGTTTATCACTCTCCCTTTTTTTGAAGAAAAGGACAGCAAGAATTTGCAGCAATTGTAACCAACTCCAACCACTGCAGTAAAAGCAGCAGCTTCTGTGGGAACAGCACAGCACCAAACAGGCTCCAGCCCCTTGGGACACAGCAGCAGCCACCAGGAGCCTGTGGCTCCAGATTCCTCATGTAGCAAATTAGGGAAAGCTCAATAGCTGACAGGAAAGCTTTAGAACACCCTGTTTCTAGAAGAAAGGTTTTTAATTCCAAGCCAGGAGGAAAATGGTCAGTGTGGCTTTGCTTCTCTTTCAACAGATGTAAGAAGTAAATTGAACTGCATATGTGAGGTATTTATTAATCACAATGTTTTGTCCTGCAGAAAACATTCATTTCACGATCTTAAGACTCTTAACATGTTAAATACATTGCACCTGGGATAACCTTATTAAAAACTTGGCAGAACAAGCTGATTTCAATCAGCGGAAATTGCAGGGACTCCTAAAGCAAGTCCTACGTATTTGCAGAGTAGTGGGAAACTGACACCAAGGCCCTGAAAGCACCCAGTGCTGACCAGAGAGGGGGGGTTTCCTCCATTAAGACTCAAACTCAGCAAAAATGTACCATGTTTTCAAAGATTCAAACCCATTCTGCCTATAAATATTATCTAATTAGACGCAACATAACCTGGGGGAAATTCAGACAAATGCAGTAAGGTCTTTTAAAACACACATTCAAAAGAATCATATTTATTCAAGCAGCTTCCTTTAAATGCCTGGCTTTTATTTAATTCCACACAAGAAGAACTCATTCACTATCGAATTCCTAAAGAAAATTAAAAAGAAAAAAAGGAACTCACCTGACTGCTGCCTCATTTTCTTTCCAGGCTGCACCTCTAAGACCATTAAATACACTCTCGAGTTGTCTTAAGTAAGTTTCATAGCAAACCACCCACTAAAAACTTCCCAGGCTACTTTAATTTCTTACCTGCAGGGCTGCTTGGCACATGTCCACCAAGCCCTGAATGAGATAGTATTTGGCTTCTGCCATCAGCTCTTTGATCTCCTGCCTGTGTTTTGGAAGTGCAATCGTGTCATCTCGGAGATAGTTTAAAATGGTTCCAAAGTGCTTCCCACAACGGTCTATAAGGATCCAGCCTGAAAAACAAGCATCACATCATTCCAGTCACCTCAGCAGTAGGGGGCAAGAAAAGGCTCCTCAGAGAGGCAACTGATGGCATCATTAGCACAAGTGGAACACGCTTCTGGGAGGAGGAAAAACAGACTTTTCAACAGAGCAATGCTATTTCAAGTTTTAACAGTGAAACCTGGATGTCCCTTCCCATGACCACACCACTGACACCCCCACACTGTCTGTTCAGCCTCTGTAACAACACCAACAATCTGCACACCAGCTGCCACCGTAGGGAAGGCAACAGCCCTTCTGCTGACAATTCTAGTAACAAAAGGACCCATTTTCATAAAGCACAGAGGACTGTCAGTGCCAACGGGAGCTGGCTGCCCCACGTTCCCAGTTATTTTTGGAATATACTGTTCCCTACATCCTTAACTGAACACAGCCTTCAGATATTTTAAAAAACACCATTCAAACCCAGTTGTTTTACAGGATTCCCAAGAAGAAAAGCCTTTCCCTCACCTTCCTTGTCTGTGAGCACCTCCATCCTGCCGCTGAACATGGCCTTGAGCATCGTGTCGTGCCGGGTCAGCACCTGCACCGTGGTGTAGTACAGGGAGCCCCCCACATTCAGCCGCACGTACTTGTTTCCCAGGCTGCCCCCTTTGAAGCTGCAGGGCTTGGGCTTGGGCCCCGCGGCCGGGCAGAGGGGGGTGCTGAGGCACGTGTCCCCCGACATCTCCCGCTGGAGGTAGATGACGACCCTGCAGAGCGTGGGCTTGGCGGGCCCCGCCGTGGTGGGGCCGTCAGGAGGCGGCAGGCGAGGGCGGCCTGGCCAGGGCGCTCATTCCCACCGGGGCCTGGAAGAGACCGGCAGGATCAGCACGGGCCTGGCACGACCAGGGACGAGCACAAAGCCCACCATGCAGAGGAGGCACTTCCAGCAGATTCCAAGGACACACACACACACACACCCACG